CTGCCTGCCTGCCTGCCTGGCTATCTGACTAGCTATGCATCTATCACAGGACAGCCTAGAACGAGCTTCTTTGCTTCGGTGGTCAAAGTGAAGTGGCTGCACTACGAAGTGGGTGCGATTTGGGTTTGGGGTTTCTGTTTCCGGGCTGGCACAAGCAAACAAAAACCCCGCCGCCTGTTTGTGGGAGCTGACGTTATTCAACACCGTGACGCCCAGGGGCACCACGTGATGTGCGGAGCCATACGCGAGCTCAAGAATATTGCCTGCCACTGAGCCCCCAACCCAAAACCCCTATGCCCCAAAGCCCTGACCTTTCAGCTTAGCTAAAAATGCCCAACCCCTAATCCTTTGAAAAGGCTCCTGCACCCCAATTAAGGCCGTATGCAAACCACAACCGCCCTAACATTGATGCTTGCAGTGATGGTAAGGAATTCAGGTCTGCCTATGAAGGCCAGGATTCATGTTCGTACATGTGGGTAGTTGCCAAAATCATGGTCCCTTTTGGGGTACCCTAAATAAAAGGTGCCGTATTATAATAAGGACCCAAAAAGGGACCATAATTTTGACAACCACCCATGTCATGAGAGAAGGGTGGTCGCTCAGAATTGCTGCCGTGCATAGAGACATGCTGTAGGTACTGAGGGTGAATAGACGTGATTCAGGGTTTTGGGCTTGGGATGTAATCACCGAACCTGTCAACCCCTAAAATAACATCAGGAGGTCTCGAGTTTGCAAACCGCAGACTTTCAGGAAAACAGGATCTCGGATCTTGTCTGCTACTACCTGGAAGGTCGGTTGGCATATGTGTCTATAGTGTATAGTCTATGTATTCCTCTCGACAAGCAAACAAACAAGCAAAACACAAAGATGAAAGTAGGTACATACACATTTACACATACAATGATATGTTCACTGTCGTCTTTACATACTCCTTTAACGCCTCGAAGACGGACACAAGATCGGCTGGATGCATGGTTCTTCCAGAGAAACATCCAAGTTCATTTGAAGAACTATGGGCGTTGCCCCCACAAGAACTCCGGCAGCTTCCTTGCGGCTCAGACTTAGGGCTTATAGGGTTTCGTGCCGAATGAAACGATGACACATCGGCAAGCATGGCACAGCAGGAAGAGAGGTATGCCAAGGTGAGGCCCTTGTAGGATATGTCCTAACATGGAACTCAGTCTCTGAGGGACCATGTACCCAAATAGCATATACTTTGGCCTTAAAGTAGTCCGTATATAGGTATTTAGGAGCCAATGTATATACTAGAAGAGTACCTGGACACTTGGGGTGCTACAAGCGCGGAGATCTCGAATCCTCCCAACCGAGGAAGGGACCGTGTGGGATTTCCCATGCCCGGATGACAGCGAACCAAGACTTGAAACCCAAACCCTAAACCCCAAAACCTGAAACCCCTGAACCCCCCAAACCCGAAACCCTGAGCCCGCGACCTGAAACCTTCAAGCCAACCCTCAAGCCCTAAACCCTTCATAAACCACCAAACACTTGCTGAAGCCTAAAACTCTAAGCCCCACACCCTGAGAGCCCCCCCCACCTCGGTAAAAGTACGTGGTGTTATCCATGAGCTTCTGCAGCTGCTCGGCTACCACCCTCCCAGGGTTTGATCTAGCCTTTCTGCTTAGAATTCGGGGTCCCTTTAAGGCTTCCTTTCAAACGGTTGCTTTAAGGACTTATTGTTTAGGGTTTAGGGTTTCTTGGAGGGTCGGGAGACTT